ACAAACAAACAAACAAACAAACAGCAGCACGTACACGCAGAGAAAAGGAAGAAGAAAAATAGCAAAGGTGCAGCTAAACTATTATTACAATCTTCAATAAGAGTATGCAGCAAAAAAATGAAACTATGCAGCATAAGGGACACAGACATATTAATGTACATCCGGTATTGCACAAGTAAGGAACACTTACACATATCGCATTAATGTTAGAGTGTATAAGGATAGTCCCAATAAGTAAGTGCTAAACTGAGGAGTTATACACTTTTACTGCAGAGGGAATTAATGACCTGCGTTAGCGTGTTGTCTTAAGTTTTGGATGTCTCAGCCTTCCACTGAATGAGCTGTCCATGGTCTCCACAGTGAAATGCAACCAGTGGGAGGGGTTTCCCAAGATGGTGGTCAGCATCCTCCTTTCACACATCTCCTTAACTGTGGGCAGCCCAGAAACCAAAATAGCATATCTAGCTTGTTCAGTCCCTTCCTGTCTTGGTCAGAGCTGCCTTAACCCCAACAGACCACAGCAGAGTGAATATCAGAACCAACACCAGAGTGATAAAAGATTTTAGCAGGTAGGAATTAACTCCAAGATGTCCAGGTATCAGGACATGAGACTCTAAATACTGTCGTCGGAAGCTCAACTCTGATCTGGCTCACTTCTAGTTCCTGGAACAAGCTAACTAGAGCCTTTTCCCCCCAGAGAACAACTGACAAGGCATTCATTCCTACTAGAGACCAATGGAAATGTATTAAAATATGAGTAAAGTTTACCTTAAATAGTCACTGATCAGATCACTGTCAACACATCAAGGTGAGAAATCATCAATTAACATTTGATATAAAACACTACAAATACACACTATCAGAGCAATATATGTGGGTACCTCACAAATGAATGCATATTACTATCAAAACAGATTATCTACAATGGAGAATATCTGATTAAAGAAGAAACAAAAATCTATTTTCCCTTGAGAGCTGGTATATTCCAATAGTGCTGATTGTAAGCTGCAGCTGGGCTGCTTCTGTGTGGTGATCCAACAGCAATTCCAAGGACACTGGTAACTCAAAGAATGACACACTAAACCATTGTATACACACGTAAATTGTACACACTTGTACATAGGAAAAAGAAAGATAACTGAATGTGTGCACTTCAGGCATCCAAAGACAGTCCAAGGAAAGAAAAAAGACAAGCACTCAAATAAACAAACAAATGACCAGACAGCCATTCTCCCGAGCTGTGACAGCTCTCACAATGCCTCTTAACAATTTTCAATAGTATAGCCATAAATATTTTCTGGAGATAAAAAAAAAACAACAAAAAAAAAACTATGAAATGGTTCTCTCGCATTTGTCTAAAAATCCAAGCTGTGGTTCAGTCCGAAACCAATGATAGGACCATCCAGATATCTCACCAAATCACCACACTTCTGCATTTACATGGGTCCTCCACTCATTAAATACTCTCACATTTTGAAAGAGAACCACTGGTATGAGAGGTTCTCAGAGAAGGAGAAACAGCCGGCTGCTACCACCTCATATTTAGGACAAACTACCAGAGTCTCAAAAAGTTAAAGTTAGAGTCCCACTGATCATCTCACACTGGTGAAATTACGCCTCTGTATTTCACCCATCCTTGTGAGCGGTGAGCTGCAGCTGTGGCCATGCTCAGAAACTATTTGGTGGTTTAACCCCCAATCCAACCCCTTAAAGCTGAGTGTCAAACGAAGAGGCATTGGGTCCCATTTGTAATGTCTTAGGTTTAATCCGACCGGATTTATACCACAATATTCCAGTCCTAGGGTGGACACTCATACCACCAGGCCACTGAGAATTTACCATTTGAAGTCACGAATAACAAAAGACTTTTGGTTTAGCGCTCCCTTATTTCCTCTTGCAATGTGGGGTCCAGCATTAGGCGACTGTGGTCTAGGGATGATAGCTGACGGGGAGGGTGAGAGTTCTGTGACCAAGTCTAAAAACTAGCTTCTTTTGCAGATCAGCCATTGCAGCCTTAATAGCACATGTTAAGAGTGTGTTGGCAAGGCATCCCATCAAAGACAACGTCAAGTGCTACTGCAAGTGAAACAATAGACTCAAATAGCACTTTGCCTTTTTTCAAATTGATGATCCAGCCTCCAGCAGGTTTATCTTTCAGCCTGGAGTGGTGCACCAGCAGGGTAGTTAACCAGTAATCAAGTCACATCTGTCATCCAATTTCAAATTCACCACCTCACATACCAGCCCTGCCTCCCCCTTTGCCTGGCTTAACTCATCCTCTTGTGTTTTCACTGAGTGACACTTGGAAGTCGAGAAGAGGCCCCACTGATTGCCCTTGATGTGAATCTGTTTCATCTGCCTGTTTGTTGCCAGTTTCCAACTTATTAGCTACTAGACTGATGAAAATAAGAAAAACACAGAAAAACAGCAGCATGGAGAGCGGTATTATTTCAGCATTTTTGGATATCTTCCTAAATTTACATCGGAATTAAGATTAAAACTATAGGATTCACATCCGACAAACAAATAATATTTTCATCATTAGGCATGAAGAAGAAGAAGAAGAAAATATCATTTCTATAGCACCTCTCAAGATAAAAATCACGAGGCGCTTCACAGAAGCAAAAAAATGTAAAAATATAAAAAAGCATTTAGAAAATGTTAAAAAATATATTTAAAATGAGCAAAAATAGGCAATTGGGATTTAAAAGAAAACATGTAAAGAAAGAGAGAGAGTGAATAGGAAAGAGGGAAATCAGTGGATCCTGAGGAAGGTGGAATAGGTGGGGAGAGCAGAATAAAGAGAGAGGGGTTGAAGAAGGTCACACCAAAGCCAGCTTGAACAAGTGAGTCTTCAGCTGCTTTTTGAAGGAGACCACTGAGTCCACTGATCTCAGGCTCAGGGGGAGAGAGTTCCAGAGCCTGGGGGCCACAGCAGCAAATGATCTGTCACCTTTGGTCTTTAGCCTGGTGCTGCACAACCAGTAGGCTTTGATCACTGGACCTCAGGGACCTGCTGGGGGTGTAGGGACTAAGAAGATCACCAAAGTAAGATGGTGCTTGTCCATATAAGGCCCTATAGACCAGAACCAGGATCTTGAAATGAACCCTGAAGTTGACTGGCAGCCAGTGAAGCTGGAGGAGAAGCGGGGTGATGTGGGTGTGTTTGGAGGACTTGGTCAGAAGCCGAGCACAGGCATTCTGAACCACCTGTAGATGGTTCAGGGAGGTTCTGCTCAGACACGTGAAAAGAGAGTTACAGTAGTCTAAGCGTGAGGAGATGAAGGTGTGGTGAATATTCTCAAGTTCAGAGTGGGACAGAATGGGACTCAGCAATGTTCCTGAGATGGAAGAAGGAAGAGCGAACAAGAAAACTGACATGAGAATCCAGGGTGAGAGCTGGGTCACAGGTCATGCCAAGATTCCTGACAGAAGGTTTGGTGTGGGAAGCAAGCTGACCAAGAGAGTCTCTGACTTTGGGAACCAGCTTGTCTGGGGCACAGATGAGGATCTCACTCTTATCTTCATTCAGCTGAAGAAAGCTCCCATCCATCCAGGTTTTGATAGAGTCTAAGCAGGTGTGTAACAGCTGCAGCTTAGACATCTCATGGGGCTTAAAGGAGATGTACAGTTGGATGTCATCTGCATAAAGATGGTAGGAGATTCCTTTGAAGAAGCTCAGGATGTGCTGAAGAGGAAGCAAATAGAGGAGGAAGAGCAGAAGCCCCAGCGCAGAACCTTGTGGGACACCATGAGTAAGAGAGGTGGTGGAGGACCTAACCTTGGAGACGGCCACAGAAAAGGAGCACTCAGAGAGATAAGAGGAGAACCACTCCAGTGCAGATCCTGATAGGCCTACCCAGACTATCAGCTTCTCCAGTAGCAGGTGATGGTCAACAGCGTCAAAGGCTGCGGTCAGGTCCAGCAGGACCAGAACAGAACAGTCCCCTGGATCCAGTGGCGGTTCTACATGGAATTACTCCCCGGGCGAGGCCCCCTTTGAGTGATTGATACTAATCAGAGCCAGGTTAGTGAGCCGCCCCTGAAACATAGTTGACCTCAGGTATGACTTGATCAAGTTTTGAAAAGCTCCTCTCAGCTTGAGCAACAGTGACTGGCAGAGCAGTCCAAAAGCTGGGGTAGATCTCCAATAGATCTTTATCATGATCCATAATATTTTAGAATTGCCTCTGAAATTGTAATTTAAACGACATAAAAAAACTGCATTTGCATTTTTAATCACAATTGTCTATTTTTGCTTATTTTAAGCTTTGTAATCATTTTTTAATATATTTTTGATGTTTTATATTTTTTTGTTTTTGCAAGGTGCTATAGAAAAGATGTTTTTCTTTCTTTTTTTTTAAAAGGCAAATGCACAACGAGGAGATACGTTTTGCTCCTGTTTCTACTAAACAAACACTAGGGCATGCTAAAAGCAAACCAAAACTGTCTTGTTTCCCTTTAAAGAATTATTCAAAATGCACTTTTGTGAAAATTTCTAGTTTTCCACCCAAAGCACAGGATATGCATTTTTCCTTTTTTCAAGTTAAGGTTTGGCTGGAAATTAAAAACACAGCTCATCATTTTGAACCTTGGTGAAATGCTTACACTAGACACATGTTACACTATTGTTTAAGGACAGGTGCATCATCATTTTTAATTCTCTTAGCTGTTGATGAGGCTTTTTAGCTTTGGAAGCTATTTGGATTATGTTTGCAGCCAGAATGAATGTAGCCAATCACATCTCCGGAAACTTTGGCTGAGTTTGGTGATTTTTGCAGCACACATCGGGTGAATGATTGAAAACATTACCTGGTGATGTGTCAGCATATAATTGCTGTTCTTGGCTTTATAGCAAATGTGGTTTCTAAGAGCAACCATTATTTGGAACAGGAAGTTTTGGCCAAGATGTCCAACCAACACAGGCTGTTATATTCAAAACAGACTGTCCTGTTCAAGCAAAGCAAGCATGGCCAAAGGATTAAGTACTGCATTATAATACCCCTCGGATAAAACAGAAACACTGCCCATTGTGCTCTCAGTGGGATAAAGTGTGAGCCAACCAATTTCCTTGGAGGAAATCCCAACAAAACATTTAACACCAGCTAAGTGTTTGCTGGATTTAGGGTTTAGACTCATTCCAGTTCTTTACTCATTTTGTTCAAATCAACAGAAATCTCATCAAAATCCAATAACAATTGTTTGTGAGACCTTTTTAAAATGAAACTTTGCCTGTTTGTGTCCTGTTGAGGGTGTAGTGGATAAGCAAACTGCTTACATGTGATGCTCCTGGTTCCACTCTGTGATAAAATGTTTTGGAGACATTTCAGAGATACAGAAGTCAGCTCTGCACTTTTTGAAGAGATGTTCTGCCAAGCTCTCAGGTTAAGTGTTCAGGAGATCATCTGGGGAGATAACTGGCAAACGTAGCAGCTACTCTTTCACAATGTTTACAGGACTAGAAGTGTTTATACTGTCTGATGACTTCTGTCTGTTTTTTCCTAACCCGTTGCCTCGGTTGGTTTTCTGTTGATGAGAAATATTAGGGTGTGCTTGACATTTGATATTAGATTATTATAAAGTAAAACATAATAAATGCTCCCCTAACCTCATGAGACCCCTTTTTGCTTCACTTAGCTGTTTAAAAATAATTAAACATAAAAATCACAAATCAAAGCAGTTTTAAACAGAATAGAATGTTTATGTCAGTTTAATATAATTGATTCATTGTAATCATGCAGCACTACATTAATGCTCATATTTATGAACTAAACTACATATCATGGCCACGTTTTGGCCAGTTGTTAATCATTTCTGCTAGTAAAGGGCCATCATTCAGGATAGTTGCACTGTCTTTCATATACGGCGTTGTATTTTTAGTGTTCCTCAGCAACACAGAACAGAAAGCTTGATTAGATGTTGTCAAAATGTCTTCTCTGAGGAAAAAGGTGAAGCTCTCCCACATATGTACTCCATCATTCACAATAGCAACAAAGCACTGAAGCTTGAGTAAAAAAACAAGTCAAGCGTGGTCCATTTTTACAAAAGCACAACAATTACTGAAGAACGAATCTTGGACTTGCACAGCTTTGATAAACAGTGATGGTGGAACTGCATTAGACACTGAAATGCTACGTTTAATTGATGCTAGTGGTTGTAAGAGGTTCTTTGGATGCTTTTAAAGCTGTTATTTGTGAGGTGCTGGTGCCTAGATGGAGGAATGGGAAGCAGTGATGAGTCACATCATTATCAATCATAAATCATGTTGGTCACTACTGTTCTATACCAGCATTGATAATCCAATAATATCTTTAAATCTTTTCCAGTTTAAATCAAATGGGTTGTTTATGATGTATCTTGCACTTCCCTCCTCGATCAGCTTCTGATATAAAACAAGTATTATTCCTTGTTGGATGTAGGGATGTGTGTTAAAAAATTGAGGCAAAGAAAGTGCCATCTACTTCCGCTTGAATAAGCCTGCGAGTAATCACTGAATAATTCATCTAAAATGCTAAGTATTTCTATTTCAATGCCTTAAATCTCCCATGGTAGAAAATTACATGTTTTGGAAATGAGTACCTCACTTTCAAGAAAAAAACTAAGCAGTGGCATCTTTACTCATATGATCCATATACCAGTTTTGCACCAGTTACCTTAGCATTGGTCCAAACTGTCAAATATTAATGAAACTGTAGATGTCTGCAATAGTGGCTGGTTTCTGAACATTCATATTGAGATGTATGGTAAGGAAAATGTAAATTTAAAAATTCATCTGTTTCTTGTTATCTACTTCCTGTTTCCAGAGCCAATCATATTTGAGCGCAAAGGGTTGCCAAGTCTGCGCCGACATTTGCAAATTGTGGAAAGAATTTTCGTAACAGGATACTGTTGAATTGTGTGCTTCCTTAAAGCTACAGGGTGTGGTTTCCTGGCACTAGGGGGCAGTGCATACATTTCAGGTTATTTTTACACCATGTTGCTGTGACTGTCACTAGTATAAAAACATTATGGTAAATGTTATTTGTGGGGAAGAAAGCATGCAACCTCGGCCTGACTCCACAGAATTTGGTGGTCTTTCAGTTAGTCCCATCTAGAGAACGCAACGCAGATGCATAGATGCAAGTTTTCTGGCGCTGTAGTTTCTCATAGACCTGCATCTGAAGGCATTTCCAGAGATTAACAGTAAAAACTACACATTATCTCTTTAACTCAATGAGCCTTGCATGGCAGCTCTTGTGGTCTGCCTGTATCTGTTTTGTTTTACACGTTTTGTGTGTGTAACCTTGGCCAGGCTGTACTGCGAAGACAAATGTCTATGCTTCAGGACGTTGGGGCACTGACAATAATGTTGATTCTTATTCAAAGCTGTAACAAATACGTTTCTGTTTTTCATTCATCTCCAAACACACTCCAGCTATGTCACTGTAGATAGATTTTAAAACTATTCTGAAACAAAATTTGCTTAACACACTTAGGCCAAGATGGCCATTTCAAATGGGGCTTACTCTAAAATGCAATCCGTTTCGCATGTTCTTGTGATTCAGTTTTGAACTGTTCAGTAAATTAAATGCAGTGGTTCATGGGATAGTTTGCTAACAGGCAGACATGGCTTACCTGCAAAGCATTAAGCAAAGATGTTGCACAATTTGTTATGCTTAATGCATATGATGGGGACAACTTAGCTACAACCAAATGAAGTTTAAAGGAGACATAACATGAAAAACCCACTTTTTTATCCGTTAACACAGTGTGTTTCACATTTTAAGTGTCTAAGTGAGCAAAAAGGCTTATATTATTCACTGGAGTTGCTATTTAGATATTTAATAATTAAGTTTTGGGCATATTTGTCCACCCGTTCAGTTTTTCAAATTATCTATTAAATCAGTAATTTATTTCGTCAGGATAACTACCACATATGGTAATGGCCCTCGGCTAAACACAGAGCCAATCCGCCATTTTTTCATCTCGCTAAGATTTTTTGTAGTCCTATTGGAAAAATGCAGAATGTCTGGTTATTTTAGCCACACACAGCTCAAAACTGTTCCTCGTTTTAAGGAAGGGTGGTGTGGCAGTATTTAAACCCAGGAGCTGATGACACAACTCTTAAAAACAAAACTGAAGAAAAAGTAGTGTGTGTGTGTGTGTGTGTGTGTGTGTGTGTGTGTTTGTGTGTGTGTGTGTGTGTGTGTGTGCGCGCGTGGTTCGTTCGTGTCTCCTGGCTAGTAAGTACCGAGGGCTTCATCTATCTAAAAGGAGTCATTTCCATCTGAATGTGGTAGCACCGGGACACAGCAGCAGAGCGGTAAGCTTCATATAACTCTAAAATGTCGACAAACTTTACTTTAGGTTTACGGGCATTAGCAGCACTAAAGCGTTAGCATCCGGCTTGCTATCGCTAGCACAGTATGCTAGTAAAGTTATCACCCAGATTAATGTGGATTTGGCTGATTTTCGTGGAATAAAACGTGATTTCTGATCAACGCCTTCTTTTACACCAGATGTACATCCACTGATTGTAGCAGCAGAGAGCCTGTGTGTTATTTTACGTGAGTGTGATGTAATCTTAGCATCCAGTAAATAAAGTCCCATATCAGCTAAAATGCAGCGTGACAAAGTCATTAAAGTGCGTCAACACAGTGGATTTAATAGTTTTAAAGAAGATCTCTGAGTGAAGTGAGGTTAGTTTTTTGTCTCACTGCAGATATAAAAACGAACTCTGCATCAGTCAGACGCAGCAAAGCTCACCGTCTGTATGAGCGTGAGCATCGGAAAGCTGATCAAATCAGCTGTAAAATAATTAAAACAACAGTAAAAATGCTCCTTTGCTTTTTAGAGTCCACATCCAGAAGTCTGGAGCCGTGTTTCACTGACAGGCTGTCAGCCTAACGCCCTGATGAGCTCAGCTGGGACAAACTGGTCTGATGTTTAGGTAAGTGAAGATCTGCTTCTCCAAGTCCTTGAGATGCTAGTAAAAATAATTTAGCCAGCTTGCTAATGTTACTTTTCTTCTCCTCTAAGGAACACAGAACGTTCAGATGTTGGAGCTTCACGACACCTACTGAGGAAGGAGACCCACCAGTAAAGAGACGGTCTGGACCAGACCAAAGTGAGTGATGACACACCTCAGCCACCCTCATCATTAAGAACACCTCACCCCCTGAATCACTCTGTCTGATGACAGCAGAGTGATTTATTTGATGTTTTACTTGTTTAGTCTGTTTAGAAATTATTGAAATACATTATTTTCTGTAATGGACCATCTGATCTGGATGTGTGCAGAATAACTTTCCCCAAATTCAGCAGCAGCTGGCCTACAAAAACAGCTGCAGCATGTAGTAAGTCTGTCTGCACTGCTCTCTAATGAGCTTCCTTTCATAAGGAATCATTTGTATAATTTTAGTGTCACTATTTTATTACATTTGTAGGATAATATGAAGTCACTGCAGCAACACAAACGTGACTATAAACATGAAAGCTAAAGAACCAACTTTCCTAAAGCTACTTGTAGACAAAATATGTCATTAAAGTTATTGTCTATCATTGCAGAATATGGCGATGACATCATGGAACTGGTCTTTGGAAAAGTTTTCCCTGAACCAACTCCGTTTCTAGATGAGGTAGAGAAGATCTGCATCTCACCAACTCTCTGGTCTCAGTATTCAGACAACGGAGGTCTCCCACTGTTATCCAGGACCAGTTTGAAGCCCACATACTTCCCCTCCCTCATCATCAGGAAACATCAATCCGTATCCTGAGGACAACAGAAGACGGCAGGAGGACAGGAACTCTGAGACCTAGATACCACCAGCACCGGGGCACAAAGCACCTGTGTGCACAACGCCTGTTTAACTACTAAAACCTGTTTATTATATAGTTCTACTTATTTGCTGTGAGGTTAATACTTAGAAAATTTGTATTTTAATGTAAACAATAAAAAAATCACTGATTGTATGTTTTCTTTTAGATGTAATGGTCCAAACTCCGCCTTGTAGACATTTATTGCATCCTGTAGGTAAATACACAGAACAGGCTCAGATCCATGATGACCCAGCATGCTCTTCTTCCATTCTGGCTGTTAGGGATTGTATCAATAACTCAATGCCTACTGATGTTTCCACCTAACGGTATTTATTTAGAATGCAGGTAAGATTTAACTATATTTGTTAGCAAAGCAGACTGATCTTGGGAATTTCACTGCAGCACTGATGTCCACCTCTCTGTACACATTAGAGAGAATTACCACTTTACAGCAAAACACACATTTAATAAAGATATAGGCTACGCATTGCAGACAATAAAAACAAAGTTCTAAGCATTAGAATTATAATGATCACATTAAAGAACATTTGGAGGAATGTTCTTTATTTTTGACTAGAATCTCAAATCTTTAAATTAAAATGTAACTGCTTTTTATCCATTTTCAGCCATTAAGACACCCAATATTAAATAAGACTACTTATAAAATTATTTATAATTATATGTATGTATATATATAGATAGAGATATTAATAAAATATATTTTAATGGTGTTTTAATGAGCTGTATCATTTTTTAAAACATTTTTTATAGAAATAAATAAGCAAGCAGCATTCCTTGTGTGTGTGCGCGTGCGCGAGCCTGCTCGCTTCTCGTCGGCCGTGACGGATGTGTGTGTGTGTGTGTGCGAGCACGTGCCTGCTCACTTGTCCCTCCGTCGGCCGTGACGGGTGTGTGTGAGTGACTACAGACAAATGCATGAGAGAGTTAGCAGCCTTGAAACAGATTGATGAACTACTCTCCCCACATGTTTTAAAAATGCTAATATGCTATGCTAAATTTGCTATGCTAAATAATGATTTCTCTATAGAACTACAAAGTCCGGCTGGGGGAGGAGAGTACAGGTCTGCACTATGGAGGGGGCGGAGTTTACAGCTCCTCCTCCAGTTTAAAGAGACAGTACCCAAAAACGGCTCGTTCTCGAGACTCTCCTCAGAACAGGGGTAGATGATGGTCTGTAGAGCAACAATAATGAGGAAATCAGACCAAAGAACTGTAGTTCCACTGTTTTTAGACCCCCAACTGAAGGATTTAGATGTAAAAAGGAATAACTTAAAAGCATGTTATGTCTCCTTTAACATATGTATAACTCACTAATTTATAGGAGCCATGGCTAACTGAGAGTACTCGAGTACTGAAAAGGATGTGCAGGAAGGCCGAGCAGAGGTGGAAAAAAGATGGGCTCCAGAGCTCGCTTGACCTACTAAGAGGACATTGGACTGGCTATCAGAAAGCCGTGAAAGATGCAAGGATAAAGTCCTTTGCCAACGTAATCTCCTTAAACTCTCAGAATGCTAGGATACTTTTTAAGACAGTGGACTCTATTTTAAATGGCAATGAGCCCCTTGCGATCGAGTACACCATGGAGCCATGTAATAATCTTTTGGACTTCTTTGTGGACAAGGTAAGGGTGACAAGGGCCGCTATTCCACCACGTAAGCATGCCCCCTCTGCTGATCTCTGTGTTCCAAGGGCACTGGAGGGTTTTCAACCATTAACTCTTGCAGAGCTTGAGGATCTGGTCATGAGACTTAAGCCAACAGGGGTGATAACTGATGTTCTCCTGGCAAGGCTACTGTAGTGGGTGACCATGTACTGCAAATTGTAAATAGCAGCTTGCTATCTGGGGAAGTCCCTATTTCCCTAAAGTAGGCGGTGGTACGACCCCTGCTTAAGAAATCAGGATTGGACCCAGCAATCTTGTCTAATTTCAGACCAGTATCTACACTCCCTTTCATATCAAAAATCATAGAGAGGGCTGTGTTTATCCAACTGATGTCTTTTCTGCAGGAATGGGAAAAGGAGAAGTATTTCAATCTGGGTTCAAACCCTTTCTTAGCACTGAATTTGCATTGCTGAAGGTCCTCGACGACATTTTATTGGCTATTATTATTGCTTCTTTAATCTACGCCGTATAATGAAAATTAAGCCATTTCTGGAAACTGTGATCCATGCCTTTGTTACCTGTAGGCTGGATTATTGCAACTCGCCATATGCGGGGCTTAGGCAAGCTCCAATAGCACGCCTCCAGGTGGTTCAGAACTCGGCTGTGCAGTTTTTAACATCTACCAGGAGGTCTGAACATATTACACCAGTCCTACATGCCTTGCATTGGCTCCCTGTCTCCTATCGCATCAGGTTTAAGGTTATCCTGTTTGTGTTTAAGGCGTTAAACTCAGGGGCACCTAAATACCTTTCTGACATCATCCACCGACATGTCCCGGTGCGTTCCCTTAGGTCAGCTGACCAGAGTCTATTAACCGTGCCCGGGTACAGCCTGAAGTCTCATGGGAGTCGTGCCTTTTCAGTGCTCGGACCAAGTCTTTGGAATGAGCTGCCAGCCGATGTAAAGCAGGCCAAATCACTTGAGACTTTTAAAAGCCGACTAAAAACACATTTGTCCTCGTTGGCGTTTGGACATTGAAGATGGGATTGCGTGGGCAGCATCACTTTGAATGTGTCTGGATCTGATTTTGGAAAAAGGACTGATATGGATTGCGAACTTGTACTCGGGATTTCTTATTGTATTTTAAATGGTTATATGTCTGTTTTATTGTGACTTTTATTGGTGTACAGTGCTTTGTTTGTCCGTTTTGGGCATGTGAAAGCACTTTATAAATAAAGTTGATTTGATTTGATTTATAGGTGTTTTCAATTAGCTGTAGTGTCCTACTTGAGTTTGATTTAAGACAAAAGTTATTCAGTTGTAAAATAATGCTAAAGGATTGCTTTATGGGAGTTTTGAAAAGTCATTTAGTGGTTTTTATGGTATTTGGCCAACACCACAGACAAACATATTGGACATATTAAGGCAATAACTAAATCAGCGTTTTATCACCTTCATCAAATATCAAGAGTCAGAGGTCTCATGTCCAAACTAGACTTAGAGAAACGTATTCATGCTTTTATTTCTAGTCGGCCGGACTATTGCAATGATCTCCTAATTGGTCTTCCCAAAAAAGCTGTGAAGCAACTGCAGCTTGTTCAGAATGCCGCTGTTAGAGTCTTAACAAGAACTAAGAGAATGGAGCACATCACTCCCGTTCTTAGATCCCTACACTGGTTAACAGTAAACTACAGAATAGATTTCAAATTGCTCCTACTAGTTTATAAATCACACAATGCCATGGGGTCAGAATACATGTCTGATCTCATTCCTGTATATACACCCAATAGGGCTCTGAGATCCTTAGGTAACAATCAGCTGATAGAACCTCGGGTCAGAACCAAATGGGGTGGAGATGCATCGAGTAACTATTCTGCTCACATATGGAGTCAGCTTCCCCATGACCTCAGATGTGCCCCAACCCTAGTGTACTTGAAAACAAAACTAAAAACCAGCCTTTAAATTAATTGTTTCTTATCATGCGTCATCTCCACTGTAATCTCCACTCTAACTTTGTCTTCTCCTTTAGCTCTAAACTGTACTTCTATCTGTGTGTATTTTAATTTATGTTTTTATGTGTTTTTATATCATGTCCTGATAATTGTAAAGCACATTTACTGCCCCCATAAGGCAGCTCAACAGGTTGAGTGGGTTGTCCAGTAATCGTAAGGTTGCAGGTTCGATCCCGGCTCCGGACAGAGAATTCTGCTGTTGTGTCTGGGTAAGACACATAACCCACCTTGCCTGCTGGTGGTAGTCGGAGGGACCGGTGGTGCCTGTGCTCTGTCAGTGTGCCCCAGGGCAGGTGTGGCAACATCATAGCTCATCACCATCAGTGTGTGAATGGATGAATGAAACACTGTAGTGTAAAGCACTTTGGAGTCCTTACTCTGAGAGGTGCTATACAAGTGAAGGTCATTTATCATTTGCCTAAAAATTGCACACACTAAGAAACTGACTGTCACCCATCATTTTTCCTCATGTGTTTTGGTCTTTTGGCCTTTGCCCAGCTTTTATCCTGAAGGGCACTCATGGCTCTGTTGGGTTGTATTCCAATTAGATGGTTGGAATCCATCCGTAGCTTCCCCCACCACATGTTAAGCTGTCCTTGGGCAAGCCACTGAACTCTATCAAGACCCTGATTTGCAAATCAGTAGACAAGTGTGAGTCTAAATGGGTGTATGTAACTTCTAATACAATCCATGTAAATGGTTGAAAAAAAAAAGAATTAATACAAAAAATGTAATAAAAAAACTTTCCTAAGACACACAACACAAAGTTTTACTAGCTTGTAAAAGTTAACCGAAACCTCAAGTCCTTCTGGTGTCCTAAAAGAACGACACATCCAAGGTCTCTACACAGTGATGGCGTCTATTAAAGACGTCCCCGTTGCCAGTTGTCTCATCATATCCCCTTACTAAACAATTAAGAAAGATTTAGTGTCAGACATCCCCTGACATGCAAGCAATTAATACTCCCTGCTGTCTTCCTTGTTTATACAACAGTTGGTAAACATGACTGACTTTTGTTGCAGATGCTCTATGGTGGTCATGCTCTGTTAGAGGAATATATTAATTTGCTGACAGGCCTTGGGCAGGCCGCCTTATTAAAACAATTTATTTGTCCCCTTCTAATGGCATAATTAATCCAACCTGAAATAGGAAGTACAAACTTAAACACCACCTGCCTCAAGTCTGTGTGGTGGCAAATAAACTCATTTAATGCTCAGTAGCTGTTTGTTCTGAGGCGACTGCCTTCTACAATGTAAAACATTCAACTTGAATCCTGCAGTCAGACATGTTGCCTGGTGCACTAGCACAGCAGCCATGGCTCTCACTCAAGATGTTTTTACAGGACCATAGTGTTTGCAAAACGGGATTTCAATTCAATTCAATTCAAAAATACTTTATTAATCCCCGCGGCTCCCTGGGGAGGATAAAGTTTGTTTATAAGATCAGATCGTGGTGGTAATGTGACGCAATCGTGGCAATTTTATAAAAGATTAGGTGATGGCGGCATAAAGGGGGGTATGGGGGCGGTCTCTGTGCTGCCTCAGACTTCCGTTTATCTTGGACATAGCTTGCCTTTTATTGCGATTGAAGCTGTGATCATTACGTTTTTTTTAACAAGCACCTCCTAAAGGTGTCTGTCCCCATCAGTCAATGTGCAGTCTCTAGTGAACTGAGCTCCAGCTCTAACAGAGAGGCTCATGGAGTGCTGTAGTGCTCCAGTTTGCCATCTCAGCTGATTTTGTTCCAAAAGCAAACCTCATTGCCTGTGTTTACTTTCATTTTCAATAAATTTGCCAGCCAGAGCTCAGAAATAACCCCCCACGTCATCATGACATCTGCCTTTGTTGCGCCAGGGCGCATACGACAGACCATTACCGCAATATTACTGCCAAGCGAGGCGGAACGAATGCCGAAAAATTTGCACAACGCCATGCCGGCATGGCGCGTTTATAGACATACCATTGCGGTAATATTATACCGGTTTGCCGGCATGGTGTGTCTTAAAAAAGAGGCTACAGTTGAAACCCTGAAAATGGTCACAGATAAATGAAT